GGGCCACAAGCAATGTCATTCTCTTCCCATGTACAAGTGAAGTTTGAGCCAAAGGATGACAGCAAGATAGAACACAGGGTGAGTGTTTCCTTATTTCGTGTTAGAAAGCAGTTTGGGTCTCCTACCAATGGTTGGGGTTTTTTGTTTGTTATGTTTTATATATATATCTATATATATATCTATATATATATATATACACATATATATATATAAATATAATTTTATATTTATAGTTATATATGACTAGGTTTGACAGCTCAAAATCAAAATTTCCATTCCAAATGAGACTATTAAATTCTTCTTTGTATCCCTATAGGTAACATGCAGAAATACTATACCCTGCTTGTAGATGGAAATCTGGTCAATCTCAGACCAGTGAGCAAGTGTGCAAAGCTTTTCCATTGAGAGCTTGAGCCTTGCTGTTAATAGAGGCAGGGGAGCTCCATGACTGCAATAATGTCATTATTTCCTTCTACCTGTGTTTGCTTCGTGCTAATTCTCTGGAGCTAATACATCCACCTACATATAATGTACTGTTTGAATTAAAAGTTGAATTAAACAACCAACAGTACTTCTATATCCACTGAACATCAGTGCCACTGACTAATTAACTTACCAAATGTCATTGAGACTCGAGGCTGTAAGCGCTGATTAGAAAATGGGGGGTAGCCAGTCCTGGATGTTCAGGTTACACACACAGGAACATCTGTCTTATACATGTGCAAATGCAGCCATTATTGCTATTAACAGAACAGGGAGAGGAGGAAAAAATTAGTATTAGGAGAAATATGTTGCTGATGCTGTGAGCTTTCTTGAACACAAACCTCAGGTCACACAGCACATCCTTCGTGCATGTTAATGGTTATTACAGCCATGATCCAGCCTCCAAGGCACCCATAGCCAGGGTAGCTCAGTTTGGAGATGAGCTCTGATAGATTTTTAGCTGCTAATCCCTGCAGGACGCGGTGGCCTTGCATCATAGGTTTGCCAAATGTCACACACCACACGAGACTTGCGCCTTGCCACCAGTGGTGATTACATACTTGCCTGCATGCTGGGCCTGGCATTCCCAGCTCTGGCAGCAAGTCGCAATGCTTCTGCTTGGGGACCCCAGCACCCAAACGGGGCTTGTGCTTAAAGATGCCCAGGAGAAGAACTGCCATTGCCACAGCCCCTGCCAGGGGGGTTGATGCTGGGGAGAAAAGTGAAGACAAAACTAATCATAGTGCAGAGCAAAAAGCCTGAGTGTTCTTGTTTTGAGTGTCAGGGGTGGAGATTAGTGTAAGCGTGGACTGCTGCAGGGCTGTGCTCTGCACCTCACTCTTCTGCTCAAAGCTGCCACATGCCAGGTCAGTCAGCACTGACTTGCAAGAGCTTGCTACCCACATGTGCATGCAGGTATGCCCTCAGCTGTGGCCTTCACACACAAGTCCCTACCTTCTACAGAGACATTTCACCTCCTTGATGCCCTTGGTTTATCCCTCAGCTGCTCATTTGCCTTCCAGAGTCATGTTAGTCCCCGAGAGGTTTTTTCCATAAAATTTCTACCCCAACATTGACCTGTCTGAGGGAAGGGGATGTGCAGAAGGTTGCTGGGTTTAAAAGTGCTGATGGGGGGGCTATCAAGCAATGATCCCCTTCAGGAGCAGGGAATCTTTTTACTTCAAGTTCTTGCAGGACTTTCCAGAACTCCAGTGTTGAGAGGTGCACAGTAACTTGTGCTAACTCACTGGAAATTGAGATCTGTCAGCCATTCAATTCTCTAGCCACTTTTCTTTCCAGCCTCTGCATCTACAACTATTGACCAATCAAGTCCAGCCTGGTTTTTCTCATTTGTGAACTGCCACACTCGGCTGAGTCATCCTGGCCTTGTTCACACCACATCACCAGGACTAATGGCAGCAAGCACAACCAGTAAGAGTTATGCCTGTAGGGTTTCTCCTTTTCAGATGAAAGCACTTCATACAAAATATTTCAGCAAAGAGCAAAGAAAACTGAAGCATACTTTGGAGTGTATCAGAACTGGCAGCAACTTATTAGCCTGAAGGTAAAGCAACTGTATTGTATTGGGATTATTTTTTTTTTAAGAAAGGAACATTTTTGTTTACAGAGTAAATTTTGCTTTTGAAGTTTTGTTAAAAATGTAAGGACTGTTCTAAAGCATGCTACTGGCCTGCATTTGATTAGGATTCCTTCCTAAGACAGATGAAAGGACACTCTGTTCAACAACGTGTTGCTGAAGGGGTTTCAGTGAAATCCCAGCAACAGGAGTAGGAAGCATATGTTTTGGTTTAAAATACTAAGGAAAAGAAACTCATTATTGCTTCAACTTTCACTCTACCTGCATTTTTAAATGCTCCTTAGATTGTCAGTGCTCAGGAGAGAAGCAGGAGAGTCACACAGTCACCACAAAAAGTCTAACACAGTGTGGGGTGAACTTCCATGGCCCACAAATACGCCTGACAATGGTTTGAAGGTTCCCAGTTCTGCTGTAAATCTACACCCTAGCTGACCCCATCCCCTTTTTGCTAGGCATACATACATGCTTTGGTTCAACTTCAGAAAATAAATACAAGCAAGAGACATCAGGTTTAACCACTAGAAATAAATAGTTCAAATACCAGGGAGAGGAGTGTTGTCTCACTCTGTAGAAGTGGTATTCACTCCTTTTTAATGTTTTGCGGGTGTCTAATCATTCTCCATTCAAGCTGTAGGCACACTACAGTGGACTTAGACCTTCCAGCAAGTTTCCCTTCTCTGATCACTTTTCACAGACCCTTTCAAAGCAGTCCACAGACACACACGGCTCAGGAACTGTTGTGTGCAGAAAAGGAAACATGAAATGATATAAGAAAGGAAAGGAAAATTTGCAGGAAAAAGAACAAAAAGGCCTGAATCATCTGCCAGATAACACATCTCATGTCACTCCCACATGCCGCAATCCATCACGAGTTCAAGTGTTGGAAGAAATTTTGGGTTTCTTCCAGGATAGCAGGCAGGGTGAGGATCACAAGAGCACCCCACACACAGCCAGTGAAGATCACTGCTGAGGTCTATCCTGTGCTGAGAAAATGGCTGAGGAAAAATACCCTTAGGAACAGGAATTGCCAGCATGGCAGTCCCTTATCCTTTAGAAGTGTAAGAATACCGATGTTCATGCTGAAACCCCCTATGGGATCTGCGACCAACTGCTTTCAGTCACCTGCGTACTCACAAGATTTTCCTCCTGTATGAGTAAATGGTTTTGTTTATGCACATGGAATCATAACCCTCAACATCAAAGCTGTGAAAGAGAACGTAGGGTTGGGCAGAAACCTCTGGTGAGCAGGAATGTCAGAGAAGGGGTGACCTGCCCTCTCAGCCCCTGCAGGAGAGCCCTGCATGCTCACAGCCTCCAACATACCTGCATCTCTCCCATGCTCAGGTAAAAGCATCAGAGCAAGTCTTGGGACCAGCCCTCACTATCTCAGAAGACCTGGATAAAATAATGGTTTGATGACACAAAAAAGACCTGCCTTTAGCTCACACCACCATCTCAAAAATAGTATTACCTAGTGACAAGCAGAAACAATCCAATACAGACTCCTGCTGCAGATTCAAATTTGTTCAAAAATGCTGCATTTTGCTTTGCATCAGCAGGCTTCATGCTTGGTAAAGAATTGCTTCTTCATCAACAGCTAGAAAAAAAAAACAACAACTATTCCGTGTTTCTACCTCCTGTCTTGTCTTGTTCACAAGTAGTGTGAGTACTGGCCCATTTCTATTAAGATCATACTCCTGAATCTGTGCATGACCAAACCCCAGATCTGAACAATCACAAAGCTACACCCTGGGGCTGGAGTTTCCTTAATTGTTTCCCCAACTGCTTTCCCTAGGTCCCCTTCTTAACTTAGATTAATACGAGAACTACACAGTTTTAATAGCCACCATCACACAGCAGGTATCTCAAGTCTCCAAGTCACCATTCCCACCATAAGATCAAGCACTTTGGATGGCAATTTCTAACCCTTTCTTGAGGACCAAGAAAAATATGCATCACCAGTGTCATACAAATGTATTTACTGCTCCAGATATAGTCAAAGGTTTTTACTTCGCACATGCAGCTGCCCTTCAGAAGACTGAAATTACAGGGTTTCTCAATCCTAGCCTCTCATCAGCATGGGATGTAGGCAAACTACCAGGAAGTTTCCCTGCCTGTTATCAAGCTCCGCTACTGATGTTCAACCTCTTCCACTAGAGGCTACAAACTGTCCACAAATCAAGCAGCTGGACCTCATATCTGCATTTGAGCTTTATGTTTAATAAGCTTTTTACCACATTCCCAACCTAAATATAGGAAAGTCTTTGCTCCATTTATATGACATCACATATGCAGTGATGCACTGCATAAATAATTACTTCTAATACAGTGTGTCTAAGGACAGACATCACCTTCCCAGAGCAGGGAGGGCACCGTGTGTATGAGAATGTGATCCTCACCAGTCAACAGTACAAACCAAGAAACTACCCAAGCCAACTTCTAGGAAGTGCTATGGAGTCCTTGCCATTAAAGCTTTCGGGCACTTGGGCGCTCTTGACAGTAACCCTGTCCTAGGGGTGGGCCTCCACACTAGGCCAGCTCTTTGCCATGAGAGCCAGTGGCCAACCTGGTGGTTCAAGGCACTCACTGGAAAGATGGCAAAACACATCAGCGCAAAAGTGTTTGCTCCAGATTATGTAAAGTCACACCTGTTTATCTCAGCAGACTCTCTAATAAAAGGGTTATTGCACCTGAGGGGTAGAACTCCTCCTCAAGCCCAAACATACTTACCTACCACTTCTTTGTCCAAGACCCCATGTAATCCAGGAGCACTCGAATGATCTAGTGATATCCAGACAAGACGCTTCAGACCTCTGTGAATATTGGATAGAGGGGGCTGAATTGCTACACAAGACCATTAATCTTTGTGGACATGACACTGCATTCTTACGTCATGCAACTGCACACATAGTAGAAACTAATTCACATTTTATTTGCACCAACACAGCTCCTGCCAGAATTAAGACTTTTAAACAGAACAGACAATACCACCCTTGACACTTCACAATTGTTGTCCAAAGAGACCGCTGCCAAGGCAGGAAGTTCTTTACTTAGAAGTAATCACCAAAAGAAATCAAGACCCTGGAGGCAAAGGACTGGCTCTGTACTAATGCAGGCAATGCTCTATGCTTAAGGAGGCACTTCCAAAGAGAAGGAATATGAAAATCTGTATGATATCCTACAGCACAAGAAAGACTCATGGCCTCTGGGACACACGATAAGGACAAGACTGCAATTATGAGCAGACATAAGCAGCAAGTTCTGCTTCACTGCTGAATACCTGCTGTTCTCAAAACAAGCTACATCTCAACAATGTCTTATACATCAGTGCAACTAAAATTTGAGTGCAAAAATTTTAAGTGTCCAGATACTCTAAAGAGGACAGCTATATAAAGAGACCTAGAGAACTACTCATGGTTCATGGGCTAATTCTGAATACTTTTAATGGATTGTACAGATTTCTACACCTGGTTTTATGAATTACATTATATTCCAAATAGACATGATGCCATCTGGTAGATGAACATGTATCTTCTGCCCTGTGACAAAGCAACAAGTGATCCCATAAGGCTCTCACTTATAACTCTTAAAAAGATGTATTTCTTGTCTAATTGCAACATGAAAGAGTTCTTGTTAAAGGAAGTAGAATGCATCCCAAGTTTTGCACATAAGGCTCTCAAATAATTTTCAGACACACTAGGGATCATATTTCAATAGAAGGATATTCCAATTACACAAAGTTGACTGACACATATTACTTTTACTTTCCAGTGTATAAAATCTATTTTTGCATTTAATCCTATAGAAATATGCCACAAGTAAGAAACAATGGATTAGAAGCTAGGCAGAATCCCTACCATATAAACTGAAGGCAAAGGGTAAAAACAGAGATGGTGAAGTCTCAGCTAAAACCTTTCATATACAGCAAGAATTCTACTACATTCCCTTTCCTATACCCAGGTACACTAAGTTAGTTATATTAACTAACAACCTTTTAAAAAAAAGTTTAAAAAAAACCCCAATCAACAAACCAAAAGAAACAAACAAATCACATCAACTTTAATCTGTGCACTTCCACCTGAAGATGAAAGCCTGAACACAGTAGGCAAAAAGAAAATCCTGTTTCAAGGAAAATATCTTCTCCAATATTCATGTATCATGCATTAGAGATTCCTAGGACTGAACCGCTAAGACCTGCATACTGCTAGAAGCTTAGGGATATTGTAATTGTATTATCTGATACAAGGAGGATATTTTCGTATCAGGCTACCTGAAAACCTGAAACTGAACAAAAGTTCGTATCAGTCGTCTACTACAATTCATTTTGCATTTAAAACCAGTCCACAGTCAGATCAGTTCCTTTCAGCAAGGCAAAAGTTACAAACTAACAACAGTGTCATAGCGATGATTCTTCAGTCTTCATCTTTTTTGTTTGTCCATTCGAACCATGTTGCAGATCCTGCCTTTTCTTTTTCTGCTGCTTTAACCTTTCCTCTTTCCTCTGTAGGTAGGCAGCCATGTTATCAAATGAAGCCTTGTAGAGACAGCTGTAGTGGCTCTCTGCGCCAACAAAGCCTGCAATTGGGCAAAGCAAGAACACAAGACAGGTATTAATTCCCTTAGCAGTCTCACCAATTACTTCTGGCACTGTAATTCTAGATAGTGCATTTTAACTCATCCACTGTGGTCCTATCCACTTTATTAAATATCAGCATTTACAGTGCGTAAGCCTGATTTGTGTCGGTAAGCATCTGTTCTGCATTCACACAGCCAAGCATAACCTCCATTTCTAGGCTAAAAAATTTGCACAGAGGCAAGCACCTGACATTCAAGCAAAGAGGGCACGCAGCTCTCCTTACATGTTGAACACTTGCAGAGCTTCAAGGCTCCTCTTCTAAAATGACCACTGTTACCACTCATTGTTAAACAACCCCGTTGGAGTTGTTCTCCAAGACTGAAGCACTGCAAAGGGCATCTGCTACCTAACTGTCCTTAGCTGACTTGTCCCCTACAGTAGTAACTTAAAAGAAGCTCACACCATCTCCAAGACTGTAAATTTAGACAAGTTTAACAGGGAACTAACTACCATCCAAAAAACCCCAATCAAATTGGTTCTGTAGAAGTCCACATTTCTAAAATTTGTTAAGAGAGGTACCTGACAAAGCCAGTTATCTCTAGTTCTCTTTGTATTCCTACCTTTTCCCACTTCCAAAAGTTCTTGATCTTAAAGGATCTTAAATGCAAGGAAATCCAGTATTTGCTTGGGTTTGGTCCTGAAATTAGTGTGCTGCTCCACAGTAATGTACATACAGAATCCCCTTGTTTGTTGGTACATAAACAAAACAACTTTCCCTCACTGGTACTCAGCAAAGCGCATGCCTTTACTTTCAGGGTCTTGCACTCGCACAGTAACCGATTTTTTGGCTTTTGGCCCTGGGAGAAATTGCGTGCTGTCAGTTAAATCCTACAGAATCATTGATCAGATGAAACAAGTTTATAAAAGGATGATATGCAGGCATTAAGACTTGAGTTTAAACAACATAATGATCACCTTTTTTAAAAGAAGTAACTACCTTTTCAGGCACTAATTATGCTCTGGAATAAGTGCTCATCTAGTGTGCCTCCCCTTACTAATTAACAATAATAGACCCTGTCATCTGAGCAGTCCTCCTTTCCCAGCTGCAGATGCAGCCGGCTACCGTGTGCCACAGTAATTTGCTATGCTAGCTAATTATGCTGAGAATCTCTTCCCCTGCCTGCTCTTTTTACTTCTCTGTTGCTCATTTTCACTCAGACCTCATACTTCTAATTATGTGCCTGGCTGTAACTATCAAGTCTGCAACATCCACATGCAAATACTCTCCCTTCTAAAGAAGCAGATTTCTGTTAAGGAGACTTTACATTAGACTGCACATTCCTGCAACTCTTCCATCTATATGGGTGAATCACCTTTATGTATGACCACCAAGAACAGACCAAGAAAACACTGTAACACCTTTTTTAAGCAAAAAAGTTCCCAATCTCCCAGCAAAGTACAGGAAAAAGATTTCAATTAATCATCTCTCAATACAAAATGAGATATCCACTAACACATACCCTTCTCTACCCTGCAGCCATAATTTCAGCCTGTAAACAAAGCTGGGTGTTTTTTAAATATAAAAAATCCTTGAGACATAGGGTGCTTCTGAACTAGTAAACCATGAATTATTTTTCTGCCAGAGACTGGAGGTGGAGCAGAAATCAAGAACAAAATGAACCAATCCTGAAACCAATTGATTTCATCCCTGATGATACAATCCAGGGTCACACCCTACAGCCACAGCAAGCTCCACATAATCTGCCTAGCCAAGGTGGACCCAAATGGCTCATCTTTACAGCAAAACTGCTCCTCCCATGGCTACTCTATTCTTACTGTCTCCACCGCACTTCCAAGCATCACGCCCAGGTAAGTACAACAGTATTCAGTATCACAGCAGTAAGACAGACTGCAGCAGCCCCGTCATAGGGTGTTTTGATACATCCCTGTGATAAGGTGCCTACGTGAAACAGTTATAATGCTATAATTCATATCTTAAATAACTACATCATTTTGTGGAAACAGTAACCCAAATGCACTTCATGATCTACACTAACTTCCATACCATATGGAGTGATGAAACTGAGAAAACTGAAAGATTAAATGACTTTAACAGCCAGCTGAACTGATGTGAACTACAATTTTCCTCCTGTATCTTATGCTTTAGCTGTAAAAATTGCATTTCCTGGGCCTTTAGGTCAAATTTCTCACCTTCAAACACTGTCCAGTTGTCTTGAAGATATTTTGACATTTTCTGTAATCCTTTGTCATCAATTACAGGCTGGGAAAAGAAGGAACACTGCATGATATTTTGGGAATAATAAACAATCTCGTGTTTCACAGCACACTGAAAAATGCAACAGCTCTCAGATGGATACAGTGAAAGGAGTATGAGTGTAAGCCCTCTGTGATGTCTTTCAGGCTCCTTTTTTCCAGGACTGCTATAGAAACCTGGCCCAAGATCATGTGTTCTGCTAGGGAAGCTTTGCAGCTTGAAGGAAAAGAAAATGGATTCCCTCTTACTAATCTGTGAGGAAAAGGAATATCACAAGGAACATGTAAGGGTCAAATAAGTTTCATTTAAAACCACTTCAGTACTATACCATAATTAGCTGGGGACTTACAGGGATAACCAGCGAGTTTCCCATTGTTTAACAGACTATTACAGAGAACTTGATAGCACATCCCTCAAATTTGACCCCCTATTCTCAAAGAAAATAATCCCCTAATGCTTCCAGAATGCCTTGTCCCCCAAAGGATCCCTCAGAGGCAGGCACAGAGAGGGCTGCATGGAAAGCATTCCTGAGCAAAGCACAAAGGGATTTTGTTGTTTTGTGGGGCTTTTAAATAATCAAGTGTAGCACACAGAAAGCACAGGGAATGGTTTAAAGTACCAAGTGCAACAGCTGACAGCCACTTCACTTGATCCCGCTACGCCAGATGTTAGCTTTACCAAAGAGACTGGTATTGGTAACAAGCTCTCAGCAGCTTTGCATTATACACAGGTGAGAGGAGTAGAATGAGATGTGTATATATGAATTTCACCCGGTCTCCAGACATAGCAAAGTGTGCCATTTAGCTTTCAGCAAACATAGTTTACTTCATTTTTGCTATGGCCTCAAGACAACACAAAACATTCAGGACATTAGCATAACAAAAGTATCTACCTTCCACTGTCCATCACATGGTCTGTACAATTGAAGAGGAGCTTCACTGTTTTCCTCCAAAATCCATAGATCTCCTGTTTCCTCAAATGCAATGTCCCAGATTTTATGTGTCAAAGAGATTTTCTGTCTGTAAACTAGCTGCTGGGCAGTGGCATCAAGCTGAAAGATGTAGACTGTGGGAATACTTTTGAGAGGAAAAACTTAATTACCATTATTACCAAATCCACCTACAGCCACCACTTGTACAGCAAACTACAAACACCCACTTCAATTCCAAACAGATCCAAAGCAAAGTCATTAGGAATTGCCAAAAATACTCTAGCACTTCAAGTGCAGTTTGCTTACATGATCTGAGGCAGAGGCTGTAAATACCTAACACGTAAAATGGCTTTTCAAGTGTTATATGAAAGAAAAAGCAGTCAACACTGCCTTTTCTTTAAAAGGTAGTAAAGGGAATTTCATAAGGATTACTAAGGATTTATATAAGGAGTGTTGCATCACAGCACACTGGCCTACAAGGCTTCCCTTCAAGGAACATGTAGCTGAGCACCAGTCTAAATAAACCAGGAAAGGAACTACATGCCGGGGAGGAGAGGAGGGAATGAGAGCAATAGGAAATCTTGACATGGCTGAAGAACAGGACTCTGGCACTGCACTGATCTCCACCTCTCCCATCAGCACACACTCACTCCTCTAACAGCCACAGCCTCTACGTGCAGAGGTTCCTAACCACCTTTGGACAGGGTTGCCTACCAGACCCACATGACAGCACTGTTCAGAAACGCTGGGCTATGGAACTGGAAATAAAAGCTGATGCGGAGCACAGTGCAGCCCCTGGGCTAAGTGACTGGGGCACAGCCCTCAGCTGACATGGCTTCCGCTTCCAGGCCCAGTTTGGATGTCCACACAGAAGGCATGATGGGGAAATAGCTAAGGCTCCTTGCTCTGGCAAAGAGCAAGTCCACTGAGGGTACAGGGGGCCGATTTCACTGTACAGGCAGCTCTGGCAATCTCTCCCTGTCCTGTTGGCAAGCTTTTGTCAGGAATGAGAGGGGAAGAGGGCTTGTCCACCCCTGCAAGACACTCCCCTGCTGGCTGGACCTGTAAGGTTCCTCAGTGCTTGAGACCTTCAGGTCCCGAGGGCTCTCTCCTTATGCAAACACTTATGTTTGAAGCCAAAAGACAAGACAGCCTCCCCCCCCCTGTTTTGAACTGAAGCAATGCTGTGGTTTTAAACAGAACAGCTGAACCCATTAACAGGAGCAGGATACAGTAACAGAAGTCTGGGTGCTCCATTGCCACAGCACCTTGAGCAAAACGGGACCCTAAACACATGGGTCAGGCACAGCAATTTAGGGAGACATCCTCAGCATTGAGCAGAGCTCTCACATCCTAGCCTTGTGTTTCCTCCCATAAGGAAAAGGCACCACAAATTCTGCAAAACTAAGCTGGGTAACCCTTGCACTCACCTCTGCACTCAGACCAAGTACAGAAAGGATTCAGAGGCTCCCTGTGAGGCCACAGACATGCCTGAGACGCTCGAAGATCCACACTACCAAGTACTTCAGGCTAGAGCAAAGTTAGGACAGCCAGCAGGGAAAGCTGCTCTTGCCTTTGCAGGAGCTGTGATGATTTTAGCCATTATTCCACTTATTCTTACCAGTCACAAAGAATGGCAACATAACCACCTTGACAGCAGTAGGTTATTCTTGACACAGGGTATTTCTATTAGGAAAAGAAAAAGAAGCATCCTTGTAAGTTAAGACCATTTATGGGCAGAAAATTCACATTCCATTTCATGTCTTAGCCTGTAAAATTTAGCAGATGTCTTAATTTACAGTAAGTCAAGCAATTTAATTACCTTTAAACTGTAGTCAAGTATATTTTTGTATCAGTGTTTGCTGTTTTATGAAGTTCTCCAAACTTCTCCCTTCACAGCCATCCAAACAGAGATCAAATGTAAAGGTTTTAGTGAACTACTCTTAATAGACAAACTAGCAGATGAAGGAAAAGTACACCACCTTCAAACATTCTCTCCTGCAACACTAATGGCAAAAATATCAACATTAAGCCTGCTCAGCCAGGATATCACACTAGCATCTTAGAGATTATAAACACAAGCCATTAGCTGCTATTATGTTTGTTAAAAAAAGATGGTGATGCATAGCTAATATCCTTGCTGCACTGTCTCTGTTTTCAACCTGCGTCTGGGTAAAATCATACTGCTTAACAGAAAATGTGTTCTGAAGAACAAGGCAAGACTGCCTGAGGCCATTTTCCTCATTAAAACAAACAAACAAACAAACAATCCCAAACAAAAAAAAAATCCCACATCCAACAACAAAAACACTCCACATCACACTCCTAATTTAGATGATACACAGTTTTATCAGAGAGAATCAGAGAAATACCTTTGCTGCACAAACTATACTACTTGAAAGATATAACAACTGATTTGATGCTCCTTGAGTGGAAAATAAGAACTTGGGAGGAGCAGAGAAACTGCAAGAAGATGCCTGAGGGTGCTTTTTCAAAAGTATCTTTTATATAATGGGAAAGATGAAACTGCAAAGGCAAAAGGCTGGTTCTCAGGTATATTTTGTAAGTAGCAGTAACGTCAGCACTTCTGATTGATAAAACCTTCCTACTAGTGAGTTAAGCCCTTTAGGGCAGGGAAAATACATCTTCTTGAGGATGCATCTGAGTTCTGCCAGCAGTGTCAAGTCCTCGTTCCTTTTACCCTCTTTCCAGCCTTCACCCTTCTTGATAACATGACACTGGACACTAGACAGAACCTCTGGTTCACCAGATTAAACTGAATTTGGGAGTAACCACAGGATTTTACCCTTTGAGCTACAGGCTGATATATAGGCACTGTCAGGGTGCTTGTTTTGGAATTTTGCAATCAATGTAGGAAAGCAAAACAAGCTGTACAGCTTCCAAACATTCAAGTCAGTAAGTTTAACACCAGAAGTTATTTTGTCAACAGTACATGATGCAACTACTAAAAGATAAACTAACTCCGGGAGAGAAAGTTAATTAATGCTATAACTATAGCTGAAAACCAGGGTTACACAGTGCATCTCCAGCACACAACACAAAAAAATAAAATCCATTGTGTGATACAAGTTCATGGAGGGGAAGCAAGAACAGCATGCACATGCTTTTCACTCACATACTCAATTGCCTGTTTGGACAGAAAAGGAGCACTTTATAAATAAGATTATCAAAGGATGATATGTTTTATAATTCTTAGGAACAGATGAGACTAATATCTTGCTACTCTGCAAAAATACTAAGTTGTTAGTATACATTTAGCACTGGGACCCAGGACCCTTGTTTCATGGGGACATAAAAAATGCTTATGGGTCCAAATACCAGGTAGGATGAGTGGGCTCAATCAGAAAGGTTCTCTGCAGCTAATACGTCTAAATGTAGTTATTGCAGTATGGAGCCTTTTACACTACAGCTTTAGAGTAGAACTGGCAGCTTCTATTGTAAACCATCAGTGGATTCCTTAGACATTTAAGGGAACAAGCCAATAGAGAGATTTATATATATATTAAAAAAAAACCCAAACATGTGAAATTTATTTCTAATAACAAAGCTCTGCCTCTCTGCCTGTCTCATGACAAACATGTGGGGCAAGTGCAGCGATGGGAAGTGCCCACCTACACAGCTGCATGCTTTGTCAGAGAGACAAAGGGTTCTGTGAACTTGAAGCATGCAGCAGCTCTTCCCCACCCTCACTGGGGGAGGGAGGAGGAAGATTTTCTGATTTGAACCAAGTGTTATTCCCAGCTTGACAGAGACAAAAAAATACATCTTCTTTGCAAGCTCTTTCCTTTCCATGTGTGGTTAAGTGAACAATCAGCAAAGTGAATGTAACCCCCAAAGTAGTATCTAGTTCAGGGACAAGACTATGAAATAACAACATAAAGGAGAGCTACAAGAGCAGTCTGTGATAAACAGATGTTCACTTGATACTCTCTGAACTTAATTCAGCATTTATATGACACTGTCATCAGCCTGCCAATACCTTAAAATTAACTTTTGATGTCACCTGTGAGAAAAGGTGACTCTATGAAAAATTAATGTACTGGAGCACTGGGGTAGAGTTGTGTAATTCATGTTCTGGACTTTAAACAAGCTTCTGCTGTCAAGAGGATCAGATGAGGTGACAGCTCTGAAGCAGGAAAAATATTTATATAGCACTACAAAATTAGAGAATTACTCCCATTCTAGTGGGAAAATGAACTGAGGATCTGCAACCCACCAGCTGAAACCAGTGCTACACTGCTCAAAACCACTCCTACATTCCCAAAACAGACATATATTCATCATCTGCCAAGCAAAATAAGCCCACATTTATGTGCTCACATGACCCATCATTACTGATGATTCCATTATCATTGTCTTCAAGCTGTGTTTCAAGCTTCAGTGCATTCACAGTGGTTATCAACAGTAAAAATGAAATGCAATGTGAAAGAATAGAAGAAAAATACTTATATCCCATCTGATCTTCGATTGCCAGAGTTGTCTGCAGACAGCATGCTAGTTGCAACATACAAAGTGCTGACTCAAGAGTTTATTCCTTTAGATTTACCCTATAAATGTCACAATAGATGGTGAAGATGATCTTTGATACACCTGGATCCACAGCACAACTAAGTGCTACCACCAGACATCATCTCTGGTATTTCTAGCACTATGATGCCAGCAAAACACAAGTCTTCTTTCCCATTTGGTCCTGCTGGCCATCAAGATAGTAACTGTTCTGCGAGAAGTACAGATTGACAGCTGTGTAGCAATACAGCAGAGATGGCAGTGCACCACATTAAGGTTTAAATCTGTCTTTTATCTGTCTGTAATCACTGGGATGCTGCCTGATCACCGTTCCAAGTGTGTACAAAGACAGATGAGTCTTCTGCACCCCTCAAGCATCATGCAAATCTAGTGTTATCAAAGACAGATTTTTAAATTGCCTGTAAAAGTGGACAGTAAGCAGAATTTCAGATTCAAGGAAGAGGCCAGCCTGAGTCTTCCAAGACCACTGTTAGGAGACAGATATCACAGTGGATAGAAGTGCAAATGCTGCAGCAATACAGTTTATTAATTGCTGTGTTATATTTATTAACCCACAGTTTGTGGGTTTTCCCTTTCTGTCATTGCTTACTCACAGCAAGGTAAAGAAGCTGAACAGAGACACCTCAGTCAAAGGGCAACCCAAGTTTCTCCTGAGAGACTCCATCAGCATAAAGAGTATCCTATGGAAAGGTCTTATCAGGTGTGTTAGGAGACAAGGCAAGTATTACTAACCTACATTCAAAAACATTCTAAGAGAGTTGGAGATAATTTTTAAAATCAGTTCCTGCTTGCAGGAACAAGTTTTTTTCCTGTAACGTTTGTTAGTTTTTCTAATGCTAACATTTTTTTTATAAACTTATTTGTAAGTAATGGAGTTAAGATTCGGTGTGAGATCAAGCACCATTAATTTACTTACAAACTTTACTTAATTTACAATCTTACTAAATGCTAAGCCAGTCTAAGCAACAGGTAGCATTTTTTAAATTATTAATAGGATCCCCACTTCAGAGCTAGTAGCTTACTAGTCTTCAAAGATCCAGTAAAGCCAGAAGGCAAAGTATTTTAAAACAAAATCATTCTTCCCTCCAAAAGAAATGCCCTGCAACATTGCTACAGACATGGATTTGATGACTATTAAAACACATTGTTTCAACAAAGCACTCTCATTAGCTACTTCTGAACACAAAGATGTTGGCTTTGAAACTCCCCAAGACACACACTTCCAGGAGGCTATACATGGTAAAGTAATTTTGTAGATTTGCCTCAATCTTAATTCTCCCTTCTTCACTCAAATTCTGCTGCACCCAGACTGTTAAGAGGATATCAGATAGGTGGGCTCGTCACCTAATTTGGTACACCCATTTTTTGCTTGTGAAAAAACCCAGCAATAGCTACTTCAAACATTTCAAATGCTAGGCTCAAGCTGAAATGAGCCAGAGACCTTGTGAATGTGTACAAGAGGTCTCTGGTTCAGGTGTGCTTTGAAGTATACTTTCAAGTTCAAGAGTAGGTTAAATTGTCCATATAGATACTACCCTGAATTCCTGCTAACAGGAACTCTAGGCCAAAACCAGGATGTCCAGTATCTAAGGTCTGAATGCTGTGTGCAAGTGGCTGCCTCCCTTGGCTTATGTACAGACCCAAAGTTGTGTATTATTACTCCAACACAAAGAACAACTTGCTGATGCCTTCTGCACAAAAATCCTTGAATTGTCAGGTCTATCCCTAGGAGCTTGGTCCTTCCATGGGTTGTGCTCCCATTTCAGTAACTGGCAATCTTACTAACACGATCAGGCCAGACCTACACAGACAGCAAAGAATCTCTGAGAGATCCCCAGATATGGCTCCTGACTGCTGGGAGAGGCCAAGCACAACATACTCAGACTAACCAAAACCACAATAGAACACAAGGGAGGGAAGACAGAAGTTTTCAATTTAATTTCAGCTTGGATATGAATTCTGCAGTGAATTTGCCTCAAGAGCTATGCATAGCTACAGGCCTCCCAGTCACCTAACAACTAGGAGACTGCTGGGGTCTCCAGAGAAAGAAGCGTTTTTAGAGATTCACATGAAAAACACACCCAGCAGGATGGCTGGTAAAATGAACAACTATTTAACGACCCAACAGATTAGCAGCTGGCTTAATATGATGTACACAGCAGGGACAAGAATGAGTGCTACTTCACTGCTATTAGGTTGTGTGCCAATTCACATGACAAGAACAAAACCAGAGATCAAGTACTACCAGAAGAACTGCTCACATCATATTAGCACCCCAAATCAGAGTAGCACTCCAAATGCGCATGTATGACCCCATTCGTGTACAAGCTGCAAGCTAAGGAGAGCTCCTGGAACATTCAGTTTTCATGTAGAACTCATATTTTAATTCTGGACACTGTCCAGGTTCAGAACAACCCAAAGGAACAAGCCCAGTGTTCTGACTTCACAGGGCAGTACTACTGCACCTGACTCATTATTAATGTTACAAAGATTCTTTTTGCTCAGATAAATCCCAATTTTAACACTTGCAATTCTGCCTATTTTAAAAAAAACAAGTGAAATTTTAGATCTTTCCAGTGTTACAAGGTATTTTCTGGCTAAGAGACTTCTGGAAAAATTATCAAGTGAAGCCTTTATCCAGTGTGCAGAACTTATATTTGGGAAGAATTACAAACATCTTCTTTTGGTCACTGCTTGGCACTTTCCAGAAACGCACGCAAGACACAGGAATGGATTTCAGGGACTTTCTTCCTCTCCTGAAATCTCAGGCCATTTTAACAGTTTCTAGGTCTCCCATAACTTCCAAACCCACAGACAGAAGGGAGGCACTCCTAACAAAATGCAACAAACATGTTTGGGAGTCACAAGGATCAGGAGGATAGCAGACATGGGCATACCTGGTCCGTTTTGGTTGTCTCAGGCCCACAGATGCTACTTAGATGACAGCAGTACACTTCTTCTCCACTTTTGTACTCCCAAAGTCTCAGAGTCGAGTCCTAGGCAGATGGAAAACGACACAAGTCTATTACTAACAGCACCTCAGGTAAAGAGAGGCCACTCGTGGCCTTCAGCTAAATCCTGTTTCCCTGAAGAACTTCCCACAGAAGCTGCTAAATAGTCACTTAGTTAAGACCTCAAATTGCAGATAGAGCATTTTAATTAACATAATTTTCCCCCCTCCATTCTAAATTATTCAATCATGCTAACTTTAATTCTCCTTTTGAAGTGGAAATTGGGTAGCTGGAGGAGTGCATTTCAAGTCTGTCTCAAACAGCACAGTAATACACATGCTCAGCATTTTAATGGCAATTCTTTCAGGTTGCCCTTCTCCACCCCTACTCTTGTTATTATCCAAATTCTCATTTGATTTAGTAACCTCCTGGAGAGAAACTAAACACTCTTCTGGAAAAACAGAGTCATCAAAGAGCATTTGCTAAGAATTAAACACACCCGCACACAGCACTAATGCTAGAGTTGCTTAAAGAATTAGAGGAACAAGAGACAAGAGCCTTAGGGAAACAAGACCGGCAGCTGAAAGCAAGTGCTAAAAATTACTACCATCTTTGTATCGTCACAGAAAACATTATTTGTTTCCTAAGCAGTTTTGGTAGTCTGGGAAACAAAGAATATTGTTTCCCTTCTTTTAGACCAACTCCATGTACATAGTCTGTCCAGGTCTGATAGGACAGCAGGAGGCTATCAGTTTAAGAGAAGGGCTGGCAGGGAGGGAAAGGAGGAAAAATTACTTCAGTCCTCATCCAAGCATTGTATAGCACTGCACTGCACTGCAATCTCTACACAACATGCACTGGATGTACTATGGGGACACAAAGACATAATTCAGAACCAGTCTCACAGGGGAAAGTAAGTGCAAGAGTGCAGAGGGAACAGGTTTTTTTCATCTTAAAAGCTCTAAAAAGATCTGCGATTCTAAAGCAACTCATTCTCAAGACATTCTCATGTGAGATCTGCAATTCTGAGGCAACACATTCTCATTATCATTACAGGGTGGCATAATACCCATTCGCTTCAAAGTTAATAGTCCAGTGATTGAAGTTTGTGCTCTAAAGCAAAAGTTCATGATGAAGAAATACTGAGGACTTTGTGATTTCTCCATCCTGAAGATCTTAAGAAGCTAGGCTTGCTACACAGTCAGTGTCTCTTAAAGGATCTAGCAACAGTATGGCTGAACGCTGAACAGAAAGCTGAGAAAGCTGCATAAGGAGAGAGAGAGAGGGTATGCAGGAAACCACAAGAGATTATTCCAAGTATCCCAAAGAACTTGTGGGAAACACAATGGTTTTAAAGTCTAAATTTTCAAGTACTTTTTTGAAGAAATTTCAATACATACCCCAGAAGCTGACAACAGCAGATCAGGATAGTTGGGTATTACAAGTATTTTGCTTACAAACCTAAAGGGAAAGCAGTCAAAAGTTGAACTCTTTTGCATGACACTTTGGTCTTTAAACACACACAGTAAGAGAAAACACTGATTTTAAAGAGAGCCTTATAATAACCAAAAAGATTCTCCACATTAAGCCAATGAGGAGGAAGAAAAAATATGTCTACAGTACTTAAAATAGTATATATACACACTACACAAACTACTGACCTTCTACTTAATAGAAAAAAACTATTAAACTATTTCCCCACCTGCATTCAAGGAATTCTATTAACTTCCTTCTGACTGAGAACACTGCCATTTAGACCAAAAAACACCAATGGATACAGATTTACCCAGGTAGCATGTTCCACCTTCTTAATTCATGATGCACATTTGAAAGATTAATCAGCAGATGCTTTTAAAACACAGCAACAGTGACGACTCAGCTTTCAGAGTACCACATCTCTCCCACCACAGCTGGGGATCAATCAAAAGCAATCTTCACAAAATTTTAAAACAAGCATGTGGCAATTTCCCATCAGTGTTGACATTCAGTCAGAAACCTTGTTTTTCAGAAGTATGTAATACTGCTATCTGTATCATGACTTGCCTTTGCTGAGTAACGAGGACCTGAACTTTTGGAGTTTGTTACTATATCTTAGCACTCAGCAACTTAAGATGTAGTGACCTGAGCAAAATGTTATCTGAGTGGGACAGCCTTGCTTTTGAAAACGGGCATAACTTTATGGCAATTAAAAAAAAAAAGAAAGAGAAAAGAAAAAAATAGAAGATATCTGGTCACTGTAATACAAGCTTTCATGACAAAGCAGTAATGGCAGGTGCATGCAGGCATAACGGATCCAGCAACTATCACCATGCACCCCACTGAAAGATGAAAACCCAGGAGTATGAAACAACAGTTAGAGCTGCTTTATGTAATCCTTTGTGTATTCATTCCTAATTTAAATACTCAATTTTTAAATATATTTCAATCAATTTACCCTAAGTGCCATTCCACTCTGCAGTCACTAATGAGCTATTTATGCAGACACAACAGCCCCTGTCTAAAAGTGTCTTTCTGACCATCAAGTTCTATACATTACAAAGTACAACTGATACACAGTAGCTGTAAACATCAGACATGGCTCTGTAAACATGCTATAAAAACCAACCTTATAAAAGGCTACTTAGATCTTTAACATGAGTAGTCTCTTGCTTTTATACTATGCCAGTTCTACACAGGTTAGACCAACAAATTATGTTATTAACATCAGACTGACACTCCAAATGAATCTGTGTCCTAAATGCTCTTGTTGGGTAAGTTTAGACAGGTTGCTAACCATATGTCAAGTTCCCCTGTCACACCATATTTCTTTAACTTGTTTCTGATATAGTGAGTTCACTGCACCACGTTGCATCATCTTATGGAAGAATGTGCCTGGAAGGGTGTTGTTATCCCCAGGTAACTCAGTGGCCAGACAAGCAGAATCAAGTGTGTCCTCTGCCCTATGCAGGGTCTCTGCCACCTTGTCACCGTGAACTTCAAAATATAGCAGTGGCCACACAAAAAATCTTGCACACCCCCCTTAGCCTACTCAAAACCCCTAGCAACTGACAACAAAAAACCTCCAAAAGCCCACAAAACCATATAGAGAGATAGGAGGCAAACTCAAGAGACTTTGAAAATACCACAACTGACAGACATTTTAAGCAGTAGAGGGAAATGTCTCTTAAAAGTCTATTTACCCTTTGAGTCTTCCTCATGGGAAAGAACTACTGAGAAGAAAAGGGAAAGTACAGCCCCTCTTGTAGGCTGAAAAAGAAGCCCTGATTAACTGGCTAGAAGACAACCCCTACTCCTATACCAGAACTACTGGTCTTGTATTAAGTCAGAGCACATCCAAATCACATCGGTACAGCTAGCAGATTGCTCTGTTGCCTTCCACTCTACAGATCACTGTAACCAGACGGATCTTCACCTGGGGAAGGAAAAAGGGTTGCCTAGATAGGTGGTAGATGCCCCATCCCTGGAAACATTCAAGGCCAGGTTGGATGGGGCTCTGAGCAACCTGATCTAGTTGCAGATGTCCCTGCTCACTGCAGGAGAGTTGGACTAGATGATCTTTAAAGGTCCCTTGCAACCCAAACCATTCCACAACTCTATGATTCTAAACATAGACCTAACTGTTGTTTAATATGATTTGAGAAGACAATCATTTCATCCACAGTGAAAAGGCACAGTGAAAAGCTGCGCACAATAACTTTTGCACACAACGGACTTACTCTTTGTGTCCCAGACAGTAGGATACAATATAATGAGGAGCCTTTGCCAAGCTGACTCTGATCTTCTCATCTCTGTCTGCAGTTAGGATATACTGGTCATCAGGACTCAGTGCCTGTCGGTAAAGAAAGTTTTAGTGCCCAGTCGTTCAACGTTTGTTTTAATAAAATTCTTCCTAATCAGGAGGGAAAAAAAAAGATAAGCAGTAAACTATCTGTTTCTCCTGACTCTGAATGGCAGGTACAAGCAATAAGCCACACTTTTCCACCAATAATGGAAGCACAAATCTTTATGATAGTAACTTTCTTGCTCACTAAGACAAGAGACATTGCCTGCTGGGTCCAGTGAAAGCCACTGAGCAGAAGTCCCACTGAATCTTAAAAAGAAAGAAATATCACACTGAAAAGCAAAACCGGTGTGACAGACTGGGTGAATTCCCATATACATTCCAAGTCTTCTGTGACTGTAATACTAAAGCTTTGTGAACACTCACAGTCCCAGCATAGATAACCCTTCGGTAAGATGGTTTCCTCACCAAACTCTGCAGACATAAACTCAGTAGGAGGAAATCCAGACCACATACTTCATTTTATAGAAAAGAGAACTCCCAAATCTGGGACATGCAACAGCGAAAGACCCAAACGCAAGCAGGAATGCAGGTTTGTACACTAACTACACGGAGGCATATACTTGCCACATCCAATAGCAAAGACAAGTGACCCAGCTCAAGTTTTCCTTCTGCTTGGGGTTCTGTTATTGAGTAAGAATAGACATCGCCAGACTTGTCTGCAACCAGAATCTTATCCTCTGCAGCTGTAATAATCAGGGAAGTGCCTCGCCTGTTCACAGACCTGAAAGAAAAACAGCATAGTTTGAACAGCTCTGGATGGCAGCTTCAGTAAGTCTGGGATTCAGACCCAGTTAAACAGACCAAGAGACTGGACAAAAAGCTCTCAGATGCAACATTCTTGAAATGGCAGCAATGATAATAATGTTAAGAGACAGTATTGGGCAAAATAGCACTTTTGAGACCTATGAAATAACTAAACTATGCAATAGTAAACATCTGAGGGGTGGGAGGAAAAAAAAGGACAGACCATGAAAGCTGCATGCCTGCATTTTGCTTAGGTACCCTCTCAACTGAACATTTTGCCTAGGCAGCCTGCCAGTATTCTAAAGAAAGACAGTAGACTTTCTTGCACTCTCCATAATAAAAATACAAGCTAAATACATAGCAAAGAGAAGACAAAGAACTAGTAGCAGTTCTTTGCAGCAACACAGCTAAAACCTGTGTTAAAACTATTTCTCCAGTTGCCTCTTCATACTGTAAAAAGAAGTCCTTCCTTGTGAGCCTCAAGGACTCTTCCTCCTCACATCCAGAACCAGAGAGCCACAGTCTCAGGGTACCTTGTCTAGGCAAAGCCCTGAAACTGAACTCTGACCTTCCCTCATCATCTGCCAGTACATTATAGTTCCAGTTGCCTGTGTAGCAGCTAACGGTTTTCTTACAACTTTTTAGATAAACTAAGGACCATGTATGTCAGAAAACAAGTTTTAAAAAAGGTTTAATCATTTCGTCTGGAGAAAGCTTCTGCAACATAACAGCTATTGTTATTACCGCTATTCTTTTCACAATACCTCTTTTCCAAACCCCTCTATGCCTTGTGTGTTAACATAGGACTGTGGACACCAGGGATCATAGGGAATTGACATTTCTATTCACATACTCTGAAATCTGGTAACTGTCTGGAGGAAAAAGAACAATATACTGTCCTTCAGCTAGGAAGATAGAAATTCTAATGCTTTTTAGTGACTGTTTAAAGGAACATTGTAACAATGGGAAAATGTATAAGACAAGAATGCCTACTAACACACTGCAGGCTCAGGCAGAACAGTTTCAAAACAGGTTACCTTGCCAACAAGAAAAAGTCTTGCTCCAAGTTCATTGTACTGCCTTTGATCTTAAACACAAAGATTCAAAAGTTCCCTGTGTCTAAAATGAGCTCACTACAAAAGCCAGCACCACGTGAAACCTTTTATACAGCTTGCCACAAAACACCAATGCAAGTTACATAGCTCAACTTTGGCAAGCTTTTTCTTGTGCAGAGACCTTTTGCTTGTATTCTCAGTTTCCTAACAGGAGGTAGTGACACTCTCAAAAAAAATCCAGCTGTGGTCCTAGTTGACCTTTTAGCAGAAAACTGAAACATCAAACAATTGTCCAATGGCATACTATGGACAAGACATACCGGGCAGGGCAGCAGGGAAGACAGAATGTAGAACGAACAGAATTTGATATTTCTGGTTTTGCAAGTGATTACTTACTACAACACTGGTTAACCCACCAAAGGTCCATCACGTATGCTACACACACAGCCAAGCTGACAGAGACTCCATTTTGGTTTGCAACCAGGGTCTCACATTTGTCAGAGACCACCAGAAGCAGAGACGTCACAAGCTGAGGTACTTTCTCATTAAGTCCTCCATGGTCCTTTTTCACAGACAATTGTCACAAGCAGGAGCAGAAAACTTGTAACTGGAGGACCTCTGGTGGACAGCTACAGATTGTTTTCTCAAGAGGACCATAATACAGAAGGGAAACAGTTGGCAGCATCTCTAAAAGACATGCTTTGAAGAGAGTTCACAAGCTCCCCAAAACATCTCCTTCCCCAAATCAACTGGGACAGACAGTGCACTCAACTGCTCAGTATCCCTCTTACAGGCCCAACCTTAGTGTTCACTAGGAATGGACAAAGTTTCAGTTCTTAAAGACGCAAATACTGTCTTTTGGAATAAGAAATTAGATTATCCCTTCCTTGGCCAATGATAAAAACATCTACACTCCTCTTTTTGGTGTGAGGGACACAACACATCTTGACAAATATCTTTTAATTCCTAGTAACATTATATTTGTTTGAGCAAGTACAAGGGAAAACAAAATTAAAAGGAGGAAGCTTAGTAATAACAAATGGCAACATTCCAAGTACTACTATTTTATAACTCTAAATTAATCAGCCACAGCTCCATAACAAAGTGACATGTAACATCCTGCTTCCTTACCTGATGCTAACACATTCCCAAGAAGGCTTTGTATGGAACAGAACCAGACGTTTGCTGTCATCTGTCAAGGCAAAATAATCTCCTGATGGTGAGAAGGCAAAAGCTAAAATGTCATCACTTCCTTTATCTGTCGGTTTTCCATCCTGCCTAATAGAGAGAAGGGGAACAACAGTTCACAATGTGCGAGTTAACTGAAATCCTCAAGAAGAGAAGGTCATTCTCACACCACCAAGAAGGAGCATGGAGAACAAAGTACAACACCATAAGTTTTATTTGCACTTAAAACACTGAACCAACTTGAACATTAATGAAGAGAAACAAGTCAAGAAAAAGGAAACAGATATAACATCTAAGTCTGTATCACTGCCTGCTTTAAAAAAAAAAAAAACAAACACCAACAAAATAACAACCCCAGAATGCTAGGGTTTGTCCTAGTAAACCTTGATACAAATTTAGGGGAAAAAGGTAAAATTGGCTATAGGTACAACAATGTCCAGTGGCTGAATTTGAGCTAAAAAGAGTACTTTTTCAGATTTTGAAATCTCATGACTTATGAGAATAGACCTGAAGGACTTATATAACTGGTTTGTGGATTTTTTTTCTAGCTGTCTTAGATGGTCTAATAAAAAATGCAGCATTCTTCTGTAAACATCTTGAACAAGAAAAGTCACACAGAATCAATGATTATACTACTGGGGTTTCTCTAACAAAGAAAAAGGCCTAATCTCCCCTCTGGGATGAAACAGAAACAAAAAGATACATACATATAAATCCAGCAGGTTTAGCAAAACCAACCCAGTCATCACCTGATCAAGGAGTCATCTCGTCACTTTCTTTTATGATCCTCACTGCCACATACCCTCAGGAGGAGACGCACATTCTAGGAAAACAGCAGATTGCCCAAGCAGATTTTCTCACCCTTTATTTCCTAAGGTCGTCTTCTCCGCATTGATGCAATCGTACACGAAGAGACTATCATCTCTGCAAACAAAAACCAACACGCTAAAACCACTGGAACTGCAACATCCACGAGCTTAACCACCGAGAGTATCAACTCTTTTGTAACATACTATTATTTCGCGGTTATTTGCGGAACTGACCCCTATCTCGAGGAACCATCCCTCCCAAACAAGCTCCCAAAGTGCTACAGATGTAGCAGAAGTTTAAAACCTTGGATTGTACATATATGCCAAAAAAAATGAAATCGTCATGTGTTGGCAAAGTAACCATGTATTCAGCATATATTTTGCTTTTGTCGGACTCGACGTTATTTGTCACCAGCATGTACCCAGTGCCGCTCGCACCCACCACCTCCCCGCGGCCCAGCCCCGGCAGGGAGGGCTCCGCCACTGCCGGCAACAGCCACAG